CATCCCGTTTTGCTGCTACAGTAAGCCCAATTGCCCAAGCTTGCGGCCCCTAAAAAATTTTGCTTGAAATTTTTTCCCCAACCCAACTTACTCGCGATTTTTTTGCACCAGATTTTACACAGATTTGAAAAATTTGAATGAGAATCTTCAAAATGGGTCAAAAAATTTCGGTTTTTCCGGATAATGGCCTAATGGATGAGGAGAAACAAGGATCGAGCAGAAAATTTGTATCGCAGTGAAAATCCGCGGCGTAAACGCCCAAAATCAGTGAATTCCAATGCATATCAAAGAGCATTCATTTATAGCAAAAATTTTAAAAAATTTGAAATAAAATCTTCCAGATGGAGCAAAAAATTTCGGTTTTCCCGGACAGTAGCCTAATGGATGAGGGAAAACATCGTCCAAGCGAAAAATTTGTACCGCGGTGAAATCCCGCTGTGTAAGCGCTCAAAATAGATAAACTCCAGCGCATGTTAAGGGGCATTCATTACAGCAAAAATTTTAAAAAATTTGAAATAAAATCTTCCAGAAGGGGCGAAAAATTTCGGTTTCTCCGGATAATGACCTGTTGGGTGAGGGAAAACAAATATCAAGTAGAAAATTTGTACCGCGATGAAAATCCGCGGTGTAAGCGACCAAAATCGATAAATTCCAATGCATATCGAGGGGCATTCATTACAGCAAAAAATACTGAAAAGTATTATTGACTCGGAAATACGACCCACTTCCAGGCGATTAAAAGATTTTTAGGTACTAAAAATGAGACCGGCTTTTGCTCCCTTGATCCGAGATCCGGAAAGTTTCCAAAATTTTACCGAAACTGCCTAATTTCCGAAGAATACACAAAATTTTTCATGCCGCGCTTCAAAATCTCATCCCTAAAATGGCCCCAGCATCGGAACCGAATTTCGCTACCCTGACCCGAAACCCTGAAATTTCTCGAATTTTTCCTGGTAATCTTGATCCCTAAGAACTCTAGAGCCGAAAATCCTTTAAAAAATGCTCTGAGCTTAAGCAAGACAAATTTTCACACAGTGGAAAGACGCAAAAGTTAAATTTTGCAATTCTGTGAGACCGAGGTCAACCGGAACCGGAAATCCCGAAATTTCAATATCAGC